GAGACTTCTCTTTCTTTTCATCATCTTCATGCTCATTCTCCTTGTTCTCATTATTGGGTATGTCTCTTGTAGTGGTATGATGTTCAACACTTGACGACGATGATGTTGTGGTTGTTTTTGTAGTTGTTTCATTTTTATCTCGAGGCGGAAATTGAAATTGGTTATTTAATACGCCAGCATTAGAGCCCCGAGCCGTCCCCTTTGTAAAGCTTTTTTGTAACTTCTCAAATTCTTCTTTGTTGATCTCCTGCTTGCCCGTCTACATGTAGTTTACATAGTTTATTTTTTGGTGGCATTCATAATTAGAAATTAGAGGATGAAAATTTACCGGTTTTTTGCCATTAAGAGTGTCGAATGTTTCGGCTCTATGTTGTTTCTTTTCCTTGACGTGAGGATTATTAACAATGATGTTGTTTTTATCCTCATCAATAAACGGAGGTGTTTGATAGATATCGGGCTTGGTTGTTAGCTCACGTAAAGTCACCTATAAATATGAAACATTATTTAATTTTTCTGGCAAAACATTTAATGAGATGGAAAAATTCACCTCTTGTTCTGAATTATAAGCAGCTAAAGCTTCCAGTTCCCTTCTTCTCAAATCACTCAACAAATTTTCAGCCGCGTATGATCCCCGCGTTGGCAGTTTTACCTGACATTCCGCATTTTTTGTTAGCTTTGTCTTTTTCTTTTTTGCCAAGAGTGTCGGTGATGCCATCTTTTGGGTCAATAATATTTAAGAAATAAATGACACACTAAAGTTTTTTTACGAAAATTTTGTTTTAATCTGACAACACCCACAGACGCAAAATGTCAAAATTGTAGCTATTGTAGTTAATACATGTATGTATGTATATTGTCAGCGTTCACAATTGTTTTTCTGTTGTGTGACGTATCCCAACGAGTGGATACTTTATTCGTGCAACTTAACAAAGTTGTTCGAGAGGATTCTTTTTATAGGTAAATCTAAACAAGTTACTCCGAATTGGTTAATTACGAAAGTTAGTAAATGTATCCTTGGAAGAAATACTGTTATTTTTAAATACTGTTCGGAATGATCGCAGTACATGAATACAGCGACTATTCCGAAATTAATCCATTTCCTGCACATTTACTTGGTTGTTACGCTTTTCAAAGAATAGCATTTAAATCAACCGAGAATTATAGCGATAGAACAATCTTTTTCACCAGACCTTTTAGAATTACTGAAGATATTATGAATTGTCAGTTTGTGCTGAAATAAAGCGTTCATGTATCAAAATCAGCGATCTATCATTTTTAACGTTATATGAAATTTAACTGATCGCGATTTCGTAGTCTTCGAACTCAACTAATACATTTGGTTGTTACTTAGCTACATTATATCGCATATATCGTGGTTTATTAGTAAATGCGTTATATCGAGCTAGATTTATTATAGCTGTATTGAACCTCTATCCGTTAATATCGGGGTTTTAATTAGTTTCCGCTATATCGGGAGTCACTGTGTAGTAGCCTCGATGATTTTTCTTTCCGTTAAAAATGTACGTATATAATATTATCTTCCATCTACGCTTGACATTTACCACTACAAGAGACATACCCAATAATGAGAACAAGGAGAATGAGCATGAAGATGATGAAAAGAAAGAGAAGTCTC